AGCCTTTCATTCTCCTCCTCCAGTGCAATGAATCCCAGTGCAGCAGGAACCAGTGGCTTGAGCTTTTCTATTGCCATTCAAGCTTCACATAGGCAGGGGTGGGCAAAATGTGGCCCATGGGCCAGATGCAGCCTGCTAGGCCATTCTATCCAGCCTGCGGGGCACCTAAAAAATGTAGAAAATTCATAGTTATCTGCCCCTGGCTGCCTGTCATGCGGCCCTTGATGGCTTGCCAAAACTCAGTAAGTGGCCCTCCACACACAATAATTGCTCACCCCTTACATAGAGTGTCAGGGAGACTACCATAGCCACCACCTGCGAGAGAAGGAGGGGGCACAAATAACAGGGACGGGACTCAAACCTCCGAGTCTGCATCTAGGAGGATGATTAGGCCCCTGTACCAATCAGCAGCATAATTAAGATGGGGAGACCAGGATAGGAGCCTCAGGCACCAACTCAGCTGGGAGGGGGATAAAACTCCACATAAACAGAGCAGCAAAGTCCCAGAGATGGGCCTGGACTCGCTTCCAGCAGGGTCGTGATGAAGGTGGCTGCCCCCATCACAGAGGTGTTCCTCCAGAGAAAGGTCTTCATCTTGGGGAAGCAGCCCTGAAAGGGAAAAAAAAAATTTTTTTTAAATGGAAAGATGGTGATGGGGGCAGGGACAGCCCTCCTCAGCCCTGGAATTGCATCTCCTCCCTTTCCAAGGAGACAGAATCTCCCCCTTGGCACAGAGGCTGGGCTGGAGCTTATGGTACCATATTACTTATATGCCACATGTACCTTTGTCACCCACCCACAAATTGGGGAACATCTTAAACATGGAAGCGGATTTTCTGCCCAGGAGAAAAGCCCTCTGTGCTTTGATCCCTGCTCCACACAGCAGCAGCAGCTGCATTTCTATTCAGACAGCTGAGGGTCAGTGGACTTCATGGCTCATTGTTTTTCATGCCACAGCTGTTAATGGCCCTCTCTCTTCCTTAACATATTTGATCTTTCACTCATCCAGCCAACCTCACTTAGGGCAATGCAGCTGTCTGCTCCTGGTCTCTCTTGTCCTATTACACAGCCCTGCAGACTGCCTGTAGCTCTTTTCAAACTCCTAGATCCAACCATTGAGACCAGGTTGCAGCAGTAGCTTGAGTTTCAACTTTAGGTCAGCAGAATAAAGGAGGGCAAGGGAGCTACAGCTGAGATTCAGTCTCTATTCTAAGCAGCCATAACTTCCCAGACCACCCAGCAGAGAGGAGGAGGAAGAAGAGCCAGGGTGGACACTCAGATATCCCATGTCCCAAGAAGCCAGAACCCTGGGGAGGCCATCAGGGTGAATCCTGCACCCCTGCCCCTGCCCTGAGCTGGGTGCTACCTCCATGTGGATGATGGTGCTGTTGGAGTCTCTCCCATTGCAGTAGGGGCTCCAGGGTCCTTGCAGTAGCCCCAGGGGTGTCAGGTTGGTGCATTTCTGGAGCACTTGAAGTCCATGTGGTTGTGAACACCATGGCAGTTTTGCTGAAAAGAGCTGGGGCGTTGGAGGGGAGGACAGGTGGGGGGAGGTGGTTGACAACAGGGCTGGGGCTGGGAGTAGAAACCAGAGGCTGGGGCTGGGCAGGGCCTGAGCAAGGAAACCAGCTGTAGGGGGAGACAGAGCCCTGCTACCTAGGGACCCAGCTGGGAGTTGGGGGTAGAAGGAAGGGAAGAGATGGGGGACTGAACTCTCTGGGCACAGGAGAGATCCACTCCCTGCTGCATCCCTTGGGGGACAATGTCCCTCACCCACTTAGATCATCCCCTTCCTAGCAACTTCCCACAGGGCAGGGCAGGGCAGGGCAGGGCAGGGCCATGGAGGGGGCACAAGAGATCTTACGAAGCTAAGGGATTTGCCCAAGGTGGCATAAGGAAGTAGTAGAAAAGAGAGGGGAACAACCCTGTGCCCTGCAGTAGCACATTAATTGCTGGTTGCAAGTGGCCCTGGAAACAGGCAGCACCAGGCACACTGGGACCCCGATCTTGGGACTGATTCAGGGAAAATGGGGGGGGCTTAAGAAGTACCAACCCCCAGCATGTAGGAGTTCCAGCTGTAGGACATGATGTTGTCGTACTTGTAGCTGCCATATTTCTTCCTCAGTGCCCTGAGAGCCTTATTACAGATGAACAAACAGACCTACAAGGGGATGGGGGGTGGGGGTGAGGAAAGCCAAGCAGGAGTCCCCCTCTGAGCAAAGGCAGCCAGGTCTGTGTTGTACTGAGGCCAACAGAGACACAGGGCTTGGGAGTTCCAGTGGCCTACAGCCCTGGTGCCCCCATAGCCTGCCACCCTGACCCCAGCTTTGATTTGCAACAGTGAGGCACAGGGAGGGGTTTGTGTGTGGCAGAACATGCGTCTTGCATGTCATGGCATATGCCATGGTCCCACCGGCAGTGACTGCCTGCTGCTGTGACCACACAGGGTGGGATACCTAAGGGGGAGGTGGGGGGGATCCTGGTGTCCTCTGTGCCCTTCAGGGCTCTCCGGTGATGCCCCTGACTCCTGGGTGAGCCCAACCAAGGGCTGGGGGGCACTGTGCTGTCCCTATCATAGTTTCATAGTAGCTAGGGTCAGGAGGGACCTGAACAGATCATCTAGCCTGACCCCCTGCCACAGGCAGGAATTAAAGCTTGG